AAATTAAAGGATTTTAAGTCCTTATAGTGTGGAAAATACGTTATACAGAAGAAAATAATATATCGTGATATATATCGTTACTGCACATGCTTCAAATTATATCACAATATGAATTTTAGGCCATATCGCCCAGCCCTAACCTGGACTTCAGTCAGACTGAGGTGCGTCCGCGTGACCTTCAGCAGGCGTTCATGCTGGAAAACCTCCAGTGTGTCTGAATTCAAATAATCCTGAAAAGAAGACAAAATTCCTCCACAGTGATGTGAAAGACTCCCTGAATGGATCACAAACATGAGACTGCAGGTCTTGCTGCCGAGGGTTGAACAGCCAGTTATCAGATTTAGGGGGCAGTTACTTTCGCACACAGGGCAGGTGGGTTTGATAACTCTTGTCTTGGTTTATCTTCGTTCAATATTAAAAATAGTTTGTTGATTGGAAACATGTAAGTATGACAAATATGCAAAATAATGTGGAATGGGGAAAATACTTTCTCACAAACATAGTTTAACCTGTCAACATCCACCAGGTCACCAGGTGCAGGGTTGGACGTCCAATGAAGTCTCAGAGATTTCTTTATCTGAGTGTGATGGACGTAATAATAATGTGTTAGTCCCTGTAGGGAAATTACTTTCTCTGCATTCAACCCATTCACCCAGTGAAGCAGTGGGCAGCCACCAATGTGTGTAGGGACGGTACCTTGCTCAGGGGTACCTCAGGGTAGCCGTTCAGTGGAGTCAAACCCCCGACCTTCCCATCATGGGGCAACCACTCCACCTACTGAGCTATCCCTCCCCGCAACATTAAACACAAACCAACCCTGGATGGTTGACCAGTGACCTGGTGGATGCTGTGATGTGCAGTCTGTTGTGCTTGTATCATCTGTGCTCTTTCAGTCCATTAAGCATTAAAATGATCCTACAGCGATAACGTTTCTGTACACCAGTGGACACCATTGTTTTACTGCGTCTGCCTTTCCGTCTTTACTCCAAACACGATGTTCGTCTGCAGTTTTTGTCTTTTGTGCCATCATAGATATACACAGAGGCATTAAATGGACAGTGTCCTTGAACGCATCATCGTTTCCTCTAAGTTTCAGGAAGGAAAACAGCATGCAACAACAAACATGTAGATATATATGAATTGCAAACCTTTCCAATTCTTTCCAGTTCACCTATTTTAGTGCTGGTACGAAGGACAGTTTCTTCCTTCAGTAAATCATTTGTATCAGAAGGAACTCTGCATCTCCCCATCTCTGCTTCCTCAGTCCCAGAGAGACGTGAGAAAAGCTTAAAATATGTAGAAATGATGCTCCTTTTATACAACGGCGTGAATACATGCTGCCAGGTTCTTCCCTTTTTATAGTGATCTTTTCAAACTGTGCTTCCCATTATTTATTTTTATATATCACGTCTCTCTTAGAATAGAGGCTTGACCAAGGTAGCAGCCATTTAAACTCACAGCATTTTAAAGAATGTGAAACACATGATGTGTGTATACCCACAACAATAAAGCGCCAGTTTCCTCCAAAGAAAAAGCACTGCATGCTTCTTTCACCACATTCTAAAAAAAAAGGTGTGTTCACGTTTAGATCTTTCTGCAAAATATTCAGTAAGTAAGAAAATGTTTTCTTCAAGCAACAAGCAGCTGTTTGGAAAAAGGCCTCATGCAGAGAGAAGCCTGTGCGGGATTTTAGAACTCTGAGCGGATCCAAACGTCAGCGCTTCAGGGAAAACGTGCAGGAAATGACAAAAAACTGAAGTTCCTCTAACGTCCAGCAGAGGCTCCAGCAGGTCGGTCCCAGTGACTGTAGAAAAGAAGCTAAACAAACTTTACAAAATGAGTTTCCCCAACAGCCTCGGGTAGTCCAGTTCTCCTGTCGGGTAGTCCAGT